TGAAATTGAATGCAAAATAGTGAGCTATTTATAGATCAAAATATTTGAAAATCAGTAACTTTCGGTTGAACATTTTGATCATTTCAGTCTACCGAAATGGTGAATATAGCCATTGTATTTTTAAACCGTTGGAGTTCGGCTAAGCAGTTCTGTCATTTCGGTCAACCACAAGTTCGGTTGACCGGTGTATACTTCGGTCGATCGAAGTATAATTTTTATATCAAAATATTCATTTTTCCAAAGTTTATTTCATATTATGAATCAAAGATATTTTTATGCAAGTGATGAATTATAGAAATAATTTGAGCTTTATGCACTTGTTAAAGATTGATGAGTTGATACCTTTACATATAAATTGAAGTTTCAATAAAGAACTTCTAAGCTCTAATATTCAAAGTTTTTGTTCTATTCAAATCTCCTTTTATTGCTTGTTCTTCAATGGATGACGATTTGAGCCTTTGAATGCCTAAAAAGATTTATTATATGAAAAACTCAAGAAGCAAGATTGTTAGAAATATAAGTATCTTATTTTTTATAATCAAAACAAATGGAGCTATATTAAATCATAGGTCAACAAATATCTTATTTGTTATAATCAAAACAAATGGAGCTATATTAAATCATAGGTCAACACATAGTTCACCTTATTGTTAGCTAATATAAAATTTCATCATCAGTTTCTGTTCTTTTTAATTCATTTTGCCTATTATAGCAATCCTTAATGAAATGTCCTCATTTCCCACAATAGTAACATTTCTTACCTTTTGCCTTATTCTTGGATTTACCTTTATCACTTCATTTCTTTTTACTCTCATAGGTACTCTTGGAGTGATGATTAGATTTACCATTTCCCTTACCTTTAGCTAACAAATTCATCCCACTGTGATTATCTTTAGACTCAGCTTTAAATTCATGAATTATAGTCCTTAAGGCACATAAACGTCAGTAGTAAGCTCATCCCTTCTATATTCTATAGTATTCTTTAGGTCTCTATGCCTATCACCAATGGAGTTTAACAGGACTATAACCAACTGATCTTTTGAAAAATTATAATCACAGTCGGCTAAGACTTTGGTCAATTTGGTATATCTAATCAAATTTTCTTCCAAGTCTACAAAAGAATCCATTTTAGAAGAACAAAAATATTTCGGCAAATAACATTTATTTGGAACAGGCTTAGTTACATATTTGGCTGAAGTTTACTCCACAATTCGGAGACAATTTTGGTTTCACCAATAGTTCTTATCACATATTCAGAAAAGGATAAGAAAATAGGAGGATTATTCTTCTTGTACATTGGGGTGTACATAAGGGTGTCCATAATGAACACCCGGCACCCCCCTATTGGATGGAGTGTCGGTCCCACTGCTACTCCATCCAATAAGGAGATGCCGGGTGTCCATTATGGACACCCTTATGTACACCCTGATGTACTTGTAGCAAAGCCCAAAATAGGATTCCATGTAATTTCTTCCATTCAGCTCTTTTTTTGGGAATTATTTCATGGCAAAGTATTATCAAAGGCTCTATCACATTTCAATTACATTAAAATAACCTTCATTTTTTTACCACATATTAAAATTCCCCTCCCATCAAACAAATTCAATTCGAACTTAGTAGAAACTATCACATAGTGAAAGATGATAAACAAGTTTGATCAAGCGAGGACATACACCAAGTATATGAGAAGCAAACCAAAAACAAGATCAATAGATGATCATAGTAGTTCACAACATAACACAAATTTCAAATAGGTACTCGAGATTTCACTTGATCAAGTTTTATGCACTATCAGAGGACATGCACTAAGAATATCAAAGAAAACTCAAAAGATAGAGAGATCACAATTTATAAGCTCAAAGGATTTCTCCTTCAAGATTCTCCAAATACACATTGGTACTGGATTCATCTTAGATTCACAAGGCCTCGTAGAAAACTTTAAGCAAAGATTAGTCTCAAGGGGTTTGGTGTATGGTAACTTGTTATCGATTTTATATCCAGCAAGTGTACGAATCGTAACAAGTAATAGAATGGACCTAAGACTCCGGATATCATTTGCACGAAACCATTGGTTAATTTATTCCTAACTTCAATTTGATTGAAAACAAATAAAAGGTGGGTATTTTATTTTTGTTATCTTTTACTTTAAATAACGAAAAAGAATAAAATTTGATTTTTTAATGATGGTTTCAGTGTCAAGATTTATGAGTTCACCATAGCTATCCTCTTAATCTCAATTACCAAATTTTAATAACTATTGATTATGTTTCCCCAATCAAATTCTTCCAACATATTCAATTAACTCTCTCTAGTTCAAATTATTCTATTTAACGAAGTTGATTCAATATATCTATGTGAATTATGATATATCTTAGTCAAATGCATTCAATCTTTAAGAATCCATGTAACAACAGCATTAAGTAGAAAATGTGTCTCAACGCTTCTATACTAGTTGTCGATTTTTACTACGTGGTCTAAACAAATAATTCGCATCTCTACGTAATTATTTCTCACAAAATCCATGAATTAGTGGCCAATTAATCTAAGCAATAAGAATAGAAGTAAAAGCAATTCACAAAATCAATTGAATATTTAAAACATTTTAATTAAAATTAAGATTCAAAACTAGGTTATAATTATTCATCCTAACAAAATAATTAATTACACATCATGGGACAATAAAAATACAAGAAGGAATCAAAGTACATCACCGGGTACTAAAGAAAAACGTGAAAATGATGAAGATCTTGCACCAAGAATCCACCTCCTTCAAATCCTAACTCCTTGATTGATTTCATGACTTTTTTCCCCTTTTGGCTTGAATAATATATGTACAATAAATCGCCCCAAGCCTTGGCTTGAATGTATGTGTCTAATGAAACTCTACAAGCCCATTTTCATTGTTGGACTATGGTGTGTATTTATAGAAGATTTAGGCAAAATCCTTGTTCAATTCGATTTCCATCAAAGAGTTTGAGAAAAAAATGAAACAAATCCCTTTGTTCAATTGAACACCTTTTCTCAAATGCTTTTAGTCATTCATCTTCTAATATTGCAATTAAGTCCTCTTCAGTCTAAAATCATTATAGTTGATCCAATGCAAGTTCCATAGTCTTCAAACTTTCCAAAGTCCTTGACAAAGTAACGAGTATCAGTTAGAATAAAATAACAATTGTTATCCACACAGAACTTATTAATGGAGAGCAAATTGATCAAAGCGTTAGGACAACGTAGGACATCTTTAAAGGATAATATATTTTTTAGAATTTTGGATAGAGNTTTGTTAATTTGAAATATCATAAAAAAATATAAAGTACTGCCCAAATGATGATCCTAGCTTGTCATTTGAATCCACCCTTTAGAGAAATATTTTTCATTTATCTTATAGATTGAATTCTTGTCTTTACCATTCATCAATAGAGCAGTGTCAGTCTGTACATTTTACTATTCTCACTTAAAATTAAGGGCAGAATGATTGCTTCTATACTCAAGAGATGGATATCCATGCTGCAAAGAGTTGGACATTTTTATAGTTTTGTACATGAGCCATTAAATATACTTTGGTATGATTAATACTCATCTGGTGAGAAAGAGCTTTTATTTGTCACCATGATTTACTTTAGTAAGATTCTTTTCACCAACAATAATGCATTGTGATTTGAGTCTAAACTGTCAAAATTCTTTGATATGATGAAACCTATGAAACCAATTATTAGGCCATTAACTAAAGTCTAAAGGAGTTAACTGGGGTGTGCACTTGCTGGTAAATTTTGGTTTGAAAGAAGGGTAAAGCTCCTTGCTGGTCTTAACAGGGGTGTGCACTTGCTGCAAATTCCTGCTGAAGTTCATGAGGCCAAGGTGAGTGTGTTTAGCAAAAAAGAAGCATGTAATTATAATAATATTCTATACAACACTTAGTGAAGTGATTTTTCATCAATTTTGATTGCAGTTTCCTTTTATGATTCCGCATGTTAAAGCATCGTCTCCTCCTATATCTTCTTCAATCCAGAAGGTACTTCCCCACTCAGGTAAGAACATCCGTAATTAAATTCTTCTGCTATCCAGAAGTTACTTCCCAACTCATGTAAGAACATCCTTAATTAAATTCTTCTGCTTAAGAAAAAATTATTTCCCTTCTGCTTAACTTGGGGACCATTATCTTTTATTTTCACTACATTATGCTATCTTTTTTGTCACTAAAAAATTGGGCTTGACTGGAAATAATTTCAGAAATTAGAAGCTCTATAATTTTCTGTGTGCAATTAGAAAAGAAAGATATGTTTTACAATTACATCGTGTTTCTAAAGTTGCTTTTTCTTCAATGAAATACATGTGAAGTCTTGTTGATTTTGTATTGTATTGTATATAATGGGAATATGGGACTCTAATGCTGTTTATAAATCATTGTATAATGTCAGCACGCTGACAATCCTTGTTATGGGGAAGGGTGGTGTTGGAAAATCTTCCACTAGCCTATGACATTATAATGTCCCTTCAAATTGTTTTAGTTTCACATTTCAGATACTGGGACAAGTTGTTTGATGGATATCTCATTCTGAAATTGATTTCTTTTAGAATTTGCTCATGTTAATGGGTAAATAGAATGATATTTGCTGAAATTTAATTCTAACTGCTGCAACTCTGAGTTTTTTGAAAATAGATTTTGGTTTGATGAAATGTGTGTCTTGCTTATTTGCTTAAGCTATGAAAACTATGCCTATTAATTAGGCATTTTGCATGCTAGCACTTCAGTGATGTAAAAACTTTGTGATGTTGACCGTTATAGTTTGTTTTTCGAACAGATTTAATGGAAGGCTACAAGGCCATTGAGTTGAATGAGGATCAGATGAAGGGAGAGAGGTCACTTTGGGCACAATGTCAAGCAGTGGCCGATATGAAGTTCTCATATGTAGTATCATGCCAGTTATATGGGTTTCAGAAAAGATCTGGCGATCCTCGTGCACAAGATATATTACGACTTATGACAACGTAAGAGCCTGATATTGATCATGTTGTTGTCTTATTGTTGTTATGACCTATTAATGGATTTCCTTTAATAGGGATCCATCTCTTCGAGTAGCTTACATTGATGAAGTTGAAGAAATCTTCAGAGTCGGGACAGAGTCTAGATGAGGTAAAAAAGAAATAAAATAGAAGTCAATTCCTGAAGGTGAAATAGATAAGTTACTCAGAACATAAGAAGTAATAATCTCTATACCATGGTAAAGGCACATCAGTACAGACAATGAATTGAAGAATAGAAGGCGAATCATCAAGGAGATATTAATACACTTTCAAAATGGTGATGCTTCTAGTGCTGGAGGAGTTGCACCGGCTGCAAGGAAGAGTCAAGGAAATTTCTTTTATTTCACTTCTAGGAGAGTTACAATTTTATTTCATTTTGAAACTTTTTTTTTATTTAGGTGGTGTTGTATCACATTGTAACGATCTAGTGTATGGATTCAAAAATTTATAATGAAATTATCAATTTTTATGCAATTCCAAAATGTGTTCACAAAGTGTTATTTTTACTTTTATGGGTCAATCACCCAATTACCATATCTGTATAAAAAAAAAAAAAAAGAAAAAAAAGTCTACCGCAACGTTGAAAAAACGCTGCAAAAGGGGTCTACCGCAACGTTTAAAAAACGTTGCAAAAGACCTTTTTTGCAACGTTTAAAAAACGTTGCAAAAGACCTTTTTGCAGCGTTTTTTAAACGTTGCCGTATCTCTTCCCTCTTTGGCAACACTGAACTTTGCAACACATGATAACATGTTGCAAAAGGCCTTTTGCAGCGTTTTTTGGCCGCTGCAAAAGGCCTTTTTTGGCGTAGTGAATTCTCTATCAATGTTACACTTTAAAACCGAAACTTAAGGTATGAATTGAGGTTCTATGATAGTCTCTTCATTTCTAATTCCGATTAATATGTTTTCATAGGTATGAAGTTAAAGAAATATTAACGATTGTAATATCATATACTGGTTCCACGAGTTATGATTAATTCTGCAGAATTTGGCAGTAATCCACTATATGTTATGATGCATAGTACGTAATTATTGTAATTTGAAATTTAGAATATTCTTGGGAAGCACCAACGAATTTCCTAGTAAGTGTAAATTACTGAGTTTCTTTACAGGTTAAAAAGCTTCGAGTCGAGATAGATGTCGGTGGATCGGTGCCGCAACTTCTCTAACGGATAAACGAGTAAATAACTTCTATAGATTAAGGGAAGGTTTCAGTTATAAGCTTTGTGTGTCAACTTAGTTCTTATACCCCATTTTCATTTCCAATATTGTGACTTACGTTATACAGAGCCCATAGTGTTTTCATGGCATTATTTTTATTTGAGTGATAAGAAATTCAATTTAGGTTTTATAGTGGCGTTGGATATATGAAATGTAATTTTAATGGATTATACGTTTTCAGGAATTTATACTTGCCGGAATATATGCTACAGTCTAAATTAACAACTCCATCTTTATTTCCATTTCATGAAATAATGCCACGGTATGTTCGAATAATATGCTAATTTTCCATGGACTTCGACAGGTTTACCGGAGAACAGTCTACGTGCATGTATGAAAATAATATGACAACCTAAGCAATTGAAATAAATTGTACACTTTGACCCTGTCGAGTACAAATGTGCTAAGGACTTACCGTACTAATTTCGTAATTTTCAGAGATAATTTGAAGGGTCAATCGTTTGGTAATTTAAATTCCACATTTTCCATTTAAATAGTTATATTTTCCGGTAACTGATCTCAAGACAATAATTGATATGTTTTCACTATCAATAAAGAAGAAGAAGAAGAAGAATGCTACTGTTTATCTTTCTCTTTCTCTCCTTTTTTTTCAAAATCTGGACCTTTCGATGCCTTAAGTTTTCACATCTGATTTTTGAAACTTCATGAAAGTTATGTACCCCAAATGATGTTCCGGCTCTCTTAGAACCCATGACGTTATAGTATGGTATTAGAACACGAGTTTAGTCGATTATGTAGACTAAAAGTTTACTTGTATAAAATTTTATATTAAAGAGTTCGATATTTTTTCTGATATGCGTGTCTATTTTTCTATTATTTTTTGTTTGACTTATATGTCATTTATTTGTTTTAATGATGAATTAAATGAATTAATTGCACATTAGTATCTTGAATAGGTCATAAACCTCCATTAGAAATCTGCATGTGCAACCTTCATGCGATGTTATTATTCCACATAAATAAATATATTTTTATGTGAAATTAAAGTATAATGTTAGGTACTCCACGGCATTATGACCTTTAAGAAATTAGTTATTTCAAAAGTTATGATCAATGCAAAGTTATTATTTCGAAAGTTTTAGATTACATATTCCACGTTTGCCTTTATGTCTTGGGCTAGAATATTTGTGAGTTTATAGATGGCTAGAATAGAACTATAAAGTACCTAAGAGACATTGATCAGGTTCGTAGGGCTAGAGACCGAAGGATCCTAGTTAGATGTCAACCCCTTAAATGTTGACATGTGCGATGGCATGGGCACACCTTGCCCTCATGCCGAATTTTTGCGGACAAGTGTGTTGATGGTGCCCATTTTGGATCTCAGGAGCAAGGCAAATGTAGGATTTAGCTTGTGGGTGTGTTGCTTCAGTTTGGTTGGTGTCAAGGTGTTACGGGTTAGCAAAATGTAGCAAGGCATAAACAAACCTAGCTTGCTTTTCAGTGAACTCTAGTCCACAATTTCAGGTGTCCAAGACAAGCACATGTGTTGACACGTGTTAGGCCGTTTTCTTGGTCCATAGAGGTGGAAAGTAAGGACAGTTGCTTTGTAATGGCATAGGAGGCAGTTTTTTTAGCAGTTTTTGCCATAATAGGTTGGTTTATCCCTTTGGCAATTAAGGGTGTTAATTGCATACAAATTTTGGTTATATATTTGAAAGTTCAAGCAGATGAAACACAATTGTGTTGTGTTTCATCGGTATTTCCTTTGAGTTCTTGTATTATTGTAGAGTAATAAAACGAGTTGGGTGTTTACCTGTAAATATTCGCGTTTCTTTACATTACTGCCTTTATGTTTTGGAATTCGTTCCTTGTGTGCATTGTGGAAATTCGTGGGCTGACTGAATGAAACCTCAATGCCATCATAGGTGAAAATTTGGCTTAAGAAATTTACCCAAAATTTGATCCTGTGATAATTGGTAATAGAGCACAGTTGTTGTTGTTACTAGTTTTCATTTGCAGGCATGGCTGCAAGTCAAAATTTGAAAGATCGGGTTGCTACGTTGGAGAATTTTGTTGGTACTCCTATAAACGACAATGCAGTCAGTTTGGTTGCACAAATCCATGGACATACTAATTTGTATACAAACTTGAGAACACAATTCAAAGAGTATGACAGTAATGTTAACAAATGGCAATCTTCATTCATAAAAGAATTGTTGGATCTTGCTGATAACATAATGGCTTGGTTTGATGACCTTGAGAGTGAAATTTCATTGTTGAAATTGGCACTAAATAGTACTACTGTGTGAGGTACAGTGATTGTTTCAAAAATTCATGTCCCAAAACCGAAACAGTCTAACGGTCCCCATAATACCAAAGAGTTGGAAAACTTTCTGTGGAATAGGAGCAGTACTTAAAAGCTGCTAGTACTCCAGAGGATGAACGGGTAAATATCACTTCGATGTATCTTTCAATTGATGCAAAGTTGTGGTGGCAGAATTGGTTGAAGGATGACAAACCTACATGCATGTCGTTTATCGATTGTTACTTCGAAAATGTTGTAGAAGGAATTGAAGGACCAGTTCCTGCCTTGCAATACGGCTTCGGTTGCAAGGAAATCTTTTAAAAAGTTAAAACGGTCAGGTAGCATTCGAGAATATGAGAAGGAATTCAATAGTCTATTGCTAGATATCGAAAATATGTCCGAGAATGATAACTTTTCAACTTTATGTCGGGATTACATAGTTGGGTACATGCATAATTGCGAAGGTAGTGAGTAAAGGACCTTTCTTCGGTAATGGATACCCCGAATTGTCTTGTTGATTAGAAGTTGGTTACCAATTCTTCAGAGGAAGAGTGGTAATTAGAAAGCTGGTACATCAAAAGATTGGAAAAAATGGTTAAGAAGAAAAGGTACGAGGCTCCAAAATCGAAAGATGGTGATCATCCCAACTTAAATCAAAAAGTTTCAGAGGCTGCTTTATTTGCAATGGTCCCTATTATGCAAAGGACTATCCAAAGGGGGGAAATTGAATGCTTTAAGGCTAAAAGATGGTAATGATGACTCAAATGATGCCGCATCTAGAGCTAATCTGTTATAATACGTGAATGCAATCACTACATAGCAACGTGGCTTGATGTACATTCGGGTTACTGTTGATGGTAAGGAGGTGTTGGCAATGATGGACAAAGGTGCTACCAACAACTTTGTAAGTTCAAGGATATTTGAGAAAATAGGTTTAAGCATGACTTAACTGATTACAAAAATTAAGACGGTGAATTCTGCATCATAGCCTATGAGAGATATGTTGACTTCACCCTTCGTGTGGGTGAATGGGAGAGAAAGTGCAATCTGATGACTATTCCCTATGATGATTTGAGTTGATCCTTGCTATTGAATTATTTGTCAAGATAAAGGCATCTATATCACCACATATGATTGTGTTATACACTACAAATGAAGGGAGTCATTGTTTTGTACCAGCGAGATATCTAGACAAGAATAATGGAAAACAGGTTCAGAATGATATGCAATCTACAAAACAACTTAAGGTCACTCTAAAGAAAGGGAAAACGACTTCCGTTGCGACCTTGGTGGATATTAAAGAAGACCAGGTTGCAGAGGTGCCTAACCAAGTTGAAAGTGTCTCAAATGAGTTCGTTGATGTAATACCATAGGAACTTCCAAGAACTCTTCAACCTTGCCATACTGTTGATTACAAAATTGAGCTCAAACCAGGTGTAAAGGCTCCTGCACCGTCCCCATATCGAATGGCTTCGTCGGACTTGGTAAATTTGAGAAGGTGGCTTGATGATTTACTTGATAAGTGCTTCATTCAGTCTTTGAAAGCTCTTTACAGTGCCCCAGTTTATTTAGAAAAAGCATGATGTTTCCATGAGAATGTATGTAGATTATCATGCAGTGAATAAGATGAAGGTGAAGAACAAATATTCGGTGCCTAATGTTGCTTATTTGTTTAATTGCTGGCAAAAGGTTTATTCTTCACCAAGCTGGATTTGCGATCAAGGCTATTGGTAAATA